CTTAAGGTACCACGAAATCTTTTTCTTAAACACCATAGTAACTTTCTGCTTAAAATGCAGACCAAAATCCTAGATTACCATACTTCTCTATAAATTTAGGAATATGAAGAAGCACATGAACATTATACACTTAATGAAGCTGACCATACAAACTTTTCATTCCAGAAACATAGCTAATTAATACTTCATTACCAACATCTATTATATTCTTCCAATTGTCACAAGAAAAAGCGTAAATAGCTATGTGTAAAAGCATAAAACGATGGTATTCTTTGGTAGGCAGTACAGCTTTAAGGGCTACAGGACCTACAAACAAAAGGAAAATTCTAAATTCAACGGCTTTCCATAATCTTATTTTATCAAGCGATCTTGGACGTCTAGAAAACTCAGATGGAAGACATTTTCCTAAAATACAAATTCGGACAGAAAATTTTTACTTGATGGAATAAGTCGAATTTCCCCTCTAATCTCACAACACCAAATGAGTAACAATCGACGCATATTTCCAAAATATAACAAGTGCATTGGATCAGGTGGGAAACATGTTACCATTGGAACAATTGTCACTAAGGGAGACTCTCTCAGCTGGTGTCCATTTCTTTCCGAATTAAAAAACTGTTGACCTGTTCGTTGCACACCAATAGTTTCAGAAAAAACAAAAATCTTGAAAATAATCACAAGAAAAGTATCCTCCACATTTTTTCGTACCTTTACAAAAAGACCTAGCTGGTGCATCACAAACAAAGAAAAAAATTTTAATTCATATTTTTAGATAAATGGTTTTTATATTTTTGGATACTTGAATAAAATCAGTAATAAATGGCAAAAAAAAATCAACTAATGAATCTGGCTTTGAAGAACCAATGTGTATACTTGCAACAAATGATATTTGATCTAGAAATTCATTTACTCTACAAAGTATAGGCCATATTGATTTGTTGGTAGAATTTTGAAGCTTAACACCATCTACATTTATTGCTAGTGATACAAGAGTTTCTCCACAATAAGCATAAACTTCCTGTTTTAACTTTTTATACTGAGATCCTTCAGGAATAGCATTTAGCTCCGCACTAATTCTATTTTCTATATTATCTTGAATACCAAAATAGTGATACGATTTGTTTGCATTGGTTAGGTTAGCATCTTGCTAAGTAAAGTAGCAGCGCAAATGGGTAAATTATTGTCAAGACCAATAATTTTTAAAAAAGCTGAAAATGCATTTTTTGATACGTTATATACAACTGTATATACCATAAAATAAGTTTGTAAGGATAAGTTTGTAAGGATGTAAGTCTTATAAGGATAGCTGTTTAAAGTTAGAATTTTGGTCATTATCTTGACTTAAATTACTTTAAAAACTTTGGAAAAAATCTTGATCATTGGTAAAATTAAGGTTATTTAAAAACTTATCAGTACTTTCACGGTCAGTTACCTCATTTGTAAAATAAACTGCTGAATCGTCAACTTGAGATATAGAAGGTAAATTCGAGGAGCATTCATAAGGCATATCATCTTCGCTTTTCCTGAATTTATTGACAAAATAATATTTCTTTTGTGCCTCCTATAAAATAAAATATAAAAGTTCAAATTATAAAAAATAGCTGAATTATTTTAGGTCATTTAAAAAGTGTAAAAGAGTATTCACTGTTTTTTTGTTGTGTATGACATGTAATAGATGTTACATACAATAATGATCAACATTCTTACAAATTTTACAAGCATAACCTAATAGATTAGTTTATATAACTAACTATATGTATAACAGGGGCTTATCTGTATAACTAAATGCATTTTAAATCATATATTACTTTATTTATATATTATGTTTACATATTATTTTATTTATATAATACAATTGCATATTACTTTATTTATATATTACATTTACATAATAATTGATCTATTTATTAAATTTATTTATCACATTATTTATATATTACATATATATATATATATATATATATATATATATATATATATATATATATATATATATATATATATATATATATATATATATATATATATATATATATATATATATATATATATGTATATTACTTTAATTCATATTACTTTAAAAACCTAGGAGTCTTTATTCCCAATAACACTGTGGTATTCAGGTTAAAAATTTAAATGTTTCTGTAAATCTCTTGTTTAGGTTCTTCAATTCTTTTAAAAACTTCTTTAAGAGTTTTTAAGCCTAAAAAGTTACCAAATCCTTTCCCCTTTTTTTTTTCTCTTCATTTTCATTAAAGAAAAAGGGAAATTATGTGAATTTTAAACTTATTTCTTATACTATATATACTGATATTAAAACAACTAGTATATCATCTTAATAATACTTTTATTTGCACAAAAACTCTTAATTCGATAATAAGAGATACAAATTATTTGCAGTACTTATATACTTGCTCACCATTTTTTAAGATTAATTTAAAATAATTTTATGCTAAAACAAGATGCATGTAACTTCACCGCAAAAGTAATGTAATGTCGTTTTAACATTTAAGATTATTTTAGTTTCCAGCCTTCAAACAAAATCCCATGTAAATCCCACGAGAAACCCATGTGGGATTTCCCATGTTGGGTAAATACCATATGGTTTCCACATATAACCCATGTGGGACTACCCATATGGGTTTGAAGTGGTGTTATGCGGTAGTGGTGTAGTGGTAGAGCGCTCGCTTCATAAACGAGTGGTTCCGAGTTCGATCCCCACCACGTCCCTGGTAGTACCGCGCTCAACTCGTTTCTCCGCGCAGCGGCCTTGTTCGTCAAGGTTCGTGTTTCGGAGTTATAGAGTTGAGAGAGGGTTATAGCCACAAAATAAGTAGCCTCCTTGTCTGTAGTGGTCTTCTCGGCCTTGAGGAGGTGAAGTAAAATAAAAAAAAAAAAAAAAAAAAAAAAAGTGGCGAATTTCCATACGGATACCACATGGGAAAATCCCATGTCGGTAAATACCACATGTAACCCATGTGGGATTACCTATATGGGTTTTAAGTGGCAAATTTCCATATGGATACCACATAAGAACATCCTTCTGACATAAATCCCATGAATCATACACGGAACCTACATGGAACCCATGTGGGACACGGTTTTACTTTTCACTGGGAAGGTTTAAAAATTTTGTATAATATTTTTGAATAACTATCTGTTCTATTATTATGTTGGTGAATTGTACGTGTTAGAAATCACGTAGATGCGTGTTGAAAGTCACGCATCTACGTAAGTTTCAACTGTAATTAACAGTATATTCTCATGGGACTTTTTAATTTAATATATATAGAGAAAAGATTTTTGTATAGGACGTTAGAAAGAATATATAAATCTATAGATTATAAACGTTATTAAATTAAATGGACGCGACGATAAAACAAGCTATTTCGGCCATTATGCCACCGGTATTCGATGGCAACCATCAGCGGTTCGTCCCCCAACTACGAACATACATAACTGCGATGGAGGTACCCGAATCCAAAAGAAAAACAATAATATTAACATGTTTGCCACCACAGATTTATTCCGCACTAGAAGATCTATGCTTGCCTGCATACCCTGAAGATGACTCAGTTACCTACGAATACATCGAGGAAAACATCATGAAGCTTTTTAAACCGAAGTCATCGTTAATACTACGCTTTGAATTTGCAACTATAAAAAAAGCAAGTAACGAAAATGTGACGGAATTTTCACGACGGATTACAAGAGCTGCTGAAGGATGCAAATTCACGGATAGAGATGATCGAATGCGCGACCAATTCATCACGGGTTTTAACGATGGTGTTACAATCAAACGGTTACTACTGGAATCTGAAGAACTAACTTTTGAAAAGGCTGTGGAAATAGCTGTTACCCTTGAACGAGTAACCCAGGAAGCTCGACAATTAGATGGTTCCGAGAATGTAATGATTGGCGCAACATCGTTACTTTCACGGACGTCTGGTGCGTCCGAAATAAACAAAGTTAAATGTTTCAATTGTGGAAAACTGGGACATTTTGCAAGGGACTGCGAAGAAAAATGCAAGACTTGTTCACACGATCATCAAGCTAAAAACTGCTTTAATCGATTGCAAGGTTTAAAAGGAAAAGGAAGAATCTGGAAATAACGGCATCCAGTATTCTCCCAGAAATGACGTTGCCATCATTAAAAGTGAAAATAAATGGAAGGCTCCGAACAGCATTAATTGATTCTGGATGCTCCATTACTGTGGTTCATGCTGAGTCCGCGCATGGGCTTGTGTTAAAAAGTCAAAAACTTATCACAACTTTGGGAGGAACTGTGCAAGTGCTGGGTGAAATGGTAATCAATCTGGAAATTCTGGAAAAACTGTAACGTCCGAATGTTAGCATGTGACAAAGCGAAATGTGGTGCCGTTACTACGACGAGAAAAAACGAAAACGAAATAAACGAATTAAAAATTGATGTTATTAATACGACAAGAAAAAGCGAAAACGAAGTACAAAAAATAAAATGTGATGTCAAAAATAAAACAAGAAATGAAGAGAACGAAAGAAACGAAATAAAACATCAGGACTTCACAGCAAAGTTTGACGGAAAAAAAAATACACGGCATCATGGAACTGGAATAAAGAGCCTGTAATTGATAATACCATTTGTGAATACAAGATGAATCAAGAGCACGAACGTAGTTACCGTAAAGAAATACGTGAATGGATTGACTCTGGTATTCTTGTACCATATAACGAACTAATATTGGGACCACCAAAAGTATTGATACCGCTTATGTGCGTAGTGCAAGAAAACAAGGACACTAAGGTACGTCCAGTGGGAGATTTCCGAGCTCTCAACGAATTTGTAAATTGTCATACGGCAAATGCGGACGTTTGTCAAGAAAAAACTGCGTTGCTGGAGAAAAATAAAAAATGCAAAAATTCTCGATCTTAAAAAAGCCTACCTCCAAATTCATATTGATAAAAAACTTTGGCCATATCAAACGGTGATTATAAATGGGCAACGGTATTGTTTTACCAGGATGTGTTTTGGCATCAATGTGGCTCCAACAATAATGACCACAATTCTTCGGCATGTGCTCAATTTAAATCCAACCGTAAAGAAAGCATGTGATAACTACATTGATGATATATTTGTGGATGAAAGTGTGGAAACTGCGAAAAATGTAGCGAAGCATCTGCTTAAATTCGGATTACAATGTAAACCGCCACAAGATCTTGAACAAGGACGTGTCTTAGGATTGAGAGTCGAAAGAAATAAAAATGGGGAACTGATATGGAAACGAGACAATGTAGAACAATTCGAATCTTTAAATGCAGTCACACGATCACAGCTTTTCAGCCAGTTAGGCAAACTTATTGGACATTACCTAGTGGCAGGAAGTTTGCGTTTACAAGCTTCATACATCAAACGTTTAGCTGGAAATATACCTTGGTGTGATTTTATTTCTGAAGATTGTAAAGAAAAACTGAAAGAGTTGCTTTACCGTGTGGAAAAAGAGGATCCGGTTGGTGGAAAATGGCTGGTACCAGTTAATGGAAAAGCTGAGCTTTATTGTGATGCATCATTTATAGGACTTGGGGTAGTTCTGCTCATTGGTGGAGTAGTTGTTGAAGACGCAGCATGGCTACGGCCAGCGAGTGACACACACCATATCAATATAAGTGAACTGGATTCTATACTTCGAGGACTAAACTTAGCTAGTAAGTGGGGCATAAAAGAGTTAACAGTATACAGTGATAGCAAGAGCACCGTAGGATGGTTAAACGCAGTTTTGAAGGAAGAATATCGCGTAAAAACTCAGGGAATTTCTCAATTGTTAGTACAAAGTCGATTGAATACTATTAAGGAAGTGACAAAAGATATTTAGATCGCAGTACGATGGATTCCATCTGAGATAAATTTGGCTGATCGACTCTCACGAATCCCTCAAAAATGGTGCAGAACAGTGTGTGCAGCTGGATTACTTGAACAAAAAGACATATGGAAAATTCATTTAATTGGTCATTTTGGTGTTGCTCGAACATTACAACTTTGCTTGCGAAATAATCAGAATGTATCACGTAAGGAGGTTTCAGCATTAATTGCGAATTGTAACCAGTGTAACTCCATTGATCCTTACTCCGTAAAGTGGAAGAATGGCCAACTGAGCGTAGAAAAAAATTGGAATCGGGTTGCCATTGACGTGACGCATGTAGGTGCTGAACTGTACTTATCAATGATTGACTGTGGTCCATCACGGTACACAATATGGCGTAAATTTGCAACTAAAGCAGCTGCTGAAGTTGTTGGTAGACTCGAAGAAATATTCTCTTCATTTGGTCCGCCAGTATGTCTTCTAATGGACAACGAATTTCGGTCAAACACGTTAACAAGTTTTGCTGAAGAAAGGCATGTTAATTTGGAATATCGAGCAGCACATCGAGCTCAAGGTAATGGTATAGTTGAACGTATACACAGAACGATAAAAAGAACGGTCGCTCGCTCACATTGTTCAATCGCTCTGGCAGTCTTGCTGTACAACGAGACAATATCATCCAATTGTACTGAAAGTCCATCCAAGCAATTCAAGAAAAGATTGACATGTTTCATCCCAGGCATCGATACTCGGAGGAAGGTAGACGAGAAAGGCGTAAGCAAGAAATTCAAGAAAAAAACCAACTCAAGAAACAAAATGTGACCAGCCGTGGATACCAGGCGTAGTACGAAAGCAAAATACTTTGTCGTTTGACGTGGAAACTGCGAATCGGGTATATCCGCGTCACATTTCACACCTGCGTCGCCGTACAGACGTACAGAGTTTAAATGAATCAGTCAACGATGTTTTTTATAGACTAAACGATAAAACTGATAACGTTAAAGGAAGTTATAATGATGATGTCGCTCAAGTTCAAAATGATTTCTCAAGAACTCAATGTGCTGCAAGTAACACGCTCCGGACAAACAGTAAAGCCCCCACAAAGATTAGACTTATGAGTTAATTCACCAAGAGGGCATGTTCTATTATTATGTTGGTGAATTGTACGTGTTAGAAATCACGTAGATGCGTGTTGAAAGTCACGCATCTACGTAAGTTGTTTCAACTGTAATTAACAGTATATTCTCATGGGACTTTTTAATTTAATTTATATAGAGAAAAGATTTTTGTATAGGACGTTAGAAAGAATATATAAAGCTATAGATTATAAACGTTATTAAATTAAATGGACGCGACGATAAAACACTATCTGAGCAGCTTTTTAATAAATATGGGTAGATGCCATCAGAAATATGGTAGATGCCATCAGAAATATGGTAGATGCCATCAGAACCAGCTTGTTTGTATTTATTTTGCAGTTCAAGTTCTATTTTAATAATTAAGCTTTCAAAAAAATCAGTTTTAAATGAACAGATAGATTTTGCTCTTGATTTAAATTCAGGATATTTTTTGTTATTTTGGACCGAATTGAATACATTATAAAATTGAATATTGAATTGATTGCAGATTTCTTGTCTATCAATTAAGGTAACGCCATCCTTTGTTATCAGGGATCGTATTTTTTGATGATTTTTTTTTTTATTATTTGCATATGCATATATTAATTTTGGATTTAGTTTAGCTTTTTTGATCAAATTGGATTTGTAATTGATTTTTTCGGCTTTAATAAGATTCTTTAATGATTTACAATGTGACGAATACATTTTTTTAATAGAATTTTGTTTGTTTGAGGCTAAAAATGATCCTAAAAGCTTTTTTTAATCGTATTTGGGTTTTTAAATTATTAGTTAGCCAGTGTGGTTAGAATTTGGTGCTTAAGATTTCATTTTTTCGAATAGGAATGAATTTATCTATTTGAACTTATCCATTTAATATAGTAATTATTTTAGAGTACCATTCATTTAAAAAATCATAAGGGTTGAGGTTACTATTATTTAAAACAATCAAAGCAGCTCGATCTTGCAGTGTAGTTATATCATTATTCTATGCGCGTTTATTCATTCTTATACTATATGCACATTTATTCATTCTTATATGCGCATTTATAGATTCTTATATGCGCATTTATTCATTCTTATATGCGTGTTTATTCATTCTTATACGCGCGTTTATATATTTTTTTATTTTTATTTTTTTTTATTTTTTTTAATTTTTTATTTTTTATTTTATTTAGGTGCCCAAAGAAGTCCTTACGGTCTTATCACAGAGCACTGTGAATGAGCATTTAACAGGAAATTCACGCCTCCTTCCTAACCGATATTGTAAAACTTGCCCAGAGGTGGGGTTTGAACTACAGATCCTTTGTGTCTGAGGCAAGTGCGCTACCACTGCGCCATGACTGCTTTATATGTGAGTCAACCACCCATAAAATCTCTAGTATAATTTTATATAAACAAAAAATAAACTTTTACGTTTTATATAGATGTATTTAAAGTATAAATTAGGTTGGTGCCACTGCTATTTATTTAAAAAGTGGTTGCCAAACCAGCGCTGAATTTACCTAACTACGCATATGGTTGTAAAATAGAATTAAGTTAAACTGTAGTATCCATAATACTTTTAAGTTTCCTGATTACCACATCTGTGTTTTGAGATCCCAGCCGGCAAATAACGTTGAAATAACGTTGAAATATCGTTGAAACCTAACGTTGAATTAACGTTGGTTTAACGTTTAGAATGAAAGTTTTTTTCAACGTTGATTTATCAACGTTAAATCAACGTTAGGTTCAAACGTTATATCAACGTTGATTCGACGCGAAAAAACGTTACAATAACGTTGAATTTACGTTGATTTAACGTTTAGAATGAAAGTTTTTTTCAACGTTGATTTATCAACGTTAAGTCAACGTTAGATTCAAACGTTATATCAACGTTATTAATTCGATGCGAAAAAGCGTTACAACAACGTTGAATTTACGTTGATACAACGTTTAAAATGATAGTTTTTTTAACGTTGATTTATCAACGTTAAACGACTGTAAAATACTTTTTTACCATCAAAACGTGCTATGTATGTCAAAATGTATATATGTATGTAAACGTGCTATGTGCGTCAAAATATGATCACCATCAAAATGTACTATGCATGTACATTAGTGTTACAGTACATTATCAAGGTATATTATGGATATTAAATCTATTCATAGTCTATACTTAGACTATTTAGAACTTTTTAAGTTTAGTTTAGTTAAAATAGCTAGGTATGATTAAAGAAAGAGATAAAACTTGTTTTATTCAAAAATACATATTCAAATATTACATATATTTACATGTAACTGAATAAAATCTACACAAATTTCTTCTCTTGTCCATCACCTTTTTGAAATAAAACGTAATTTAGAAAGTCAAACAATGTTCCATTAACCGAGGGTTCTTTTGGTCCATTGAGTACAATATAAGAAGCTGTAAATAAAAAAATATATTAAAAAAAAAACAAAAAGGGAAGATTTAAAAAATAAATAATTAATGGAAAAGTGTTACAACTTATGAAGGTATATCTTTTTCAACGTCATATAGATTAGTGTTCTTAAAACATATTTTTCCACCTTTGCCCTTCATATCCATGGAGGCCATATAACTTTTCGAAAATACTCTGAGTTTTTAAAAAATAATATAACTGTTAGTTGGTTATTAATAATTTTTTCAAATATTTAATTTAAATAAAACAACCTTTTTAATATATTAAAAATAAATTAATAATCAAAATATAAAACATTTCTAGCATTGAAAAATAATTTTCGGGGTGGCCACATAAAATTTTCATAAGAAATTTTATGTGGCCATTTATTAATGGTTTAACGTCCATGTTTATACACTTATGGGGCTTGGACAGGGATCAAATAATGTCATTTGCTATGTTAAATTTCTAAAGCAATTTTTTACAATTCCGTGCACTTTAAGGCATTAACCAGTTTTGCAGACCGAGAATGGGTATTTTGAACATTATACATCCATCAAAAATTAAAAAAGGAAGAATTAATGAGGAGCTTTGATCAAATATTTACCTCTTTAGAGGATAATAGAGGATTTTAGAAGTGGTTTTAAAAAAAGAGGACTTTAGAGGATTTTAGAGGAGCTGCAGACACCTTGATTATAAATGAGGTAACTCCACCAATTAACTGTAATTGATTTATCTGTAAAAAAACATGAAGTAAATCTAATATTATGCTTGTGGAGATATATTTTATTGTGGAGAACCATCCAAACCACACAAGTGGAAAATTTGCATTCAAGTTTCCACTAGGTTACTAGGTTGCTAAAACATAAACATCTACATAAGATAATTATGGAATATTGAAAAAAAATAGAAATACAAAAAAACAAAAATACTCATTATTAATATAAAATATAATAGTATAATATAAGGTATATTATAATATATGACACAATAATATCTACTTTTAATTAAATTATAAAAACAACAAAAATTAAAAAAGAAAATATTTTGATAAATAATAAATTATCATTCAAACAATTTTTAAGACCAAAAAATAATTTGTAACTTATTTTTTTACTTATTTTCATCTAATAAATATTACTTATTTTTTATTCATCTTCATTTAATAAACATTAATATTAATACCAATTTTAAACATTATTAGAATTTTTTTTTTATCAAAAAATAAAAATATTACATCAGTTACTTTTTGGGCTTTTCTTATTTTACTTAAAACATCAACTCAATTCTAGACTTTTTTCATTATTGAGTTTTAATTTGTAATGTTGAATTAACACTGAAAAAAAAAAAATATTAGCAGACAAAAAGAAAATATTTCTTTATTGAAATATATGTCAATATTTCAATAAAGAAATTTTAGATCGATTTTTATAAATATAAATTTATATCAATCAATCTAAATTTTTTTCTTTTCCGCCACCTTTTCGAAATGAAGAGCATTTTTAGAAGTTAGACAAAATGCCATCAATTAAAGTTTCAGTCGCTTCATCGTATTTAATAGTGCTCTTAAAGCATATTTCCACCTTTCCCCTTTATATTCATGGAGGTCACAAAATTGTTGGAAAATATTCTAAATTTTAATAGATAAGAGAACTGATATTAATTGTGCGAGAACTAATATTATTTTTTTTTTTTTTAATTTAAATTGAACTCATTATCAAACAATTTTTTTGCTAAATAATTTAATCCTTAAAATTCCTGAATAATTAAAAATTATTTTGATTACCTCAGCATTTTAAAGATATTCCATCAATTGCAATTGATTCACCTAAAAAACAACAACAAGTAAAGCTAATATTATTGTTTGAAACTTTATTTATCTTTATACAAATACTCATAATATTTTTAAAGTGACTGATAAAAATGGATTTAATTAAAATCACTTCATTTGTATTAAAAAACTAATATTAAAGCCTTAATCATACATTATACAAGAGTATTTTGTAATACAATCTAAATAAATGTTGCGATATGTAATTTTTTTATCCAAAATTTAGCTTCTGTAAGCTTTAGAAATTTTTTAAAGAAATTATTGATGAATTTGGATCTACGGGTACTAATGTTTTTATATTGTTGTAATGTTTGTATTCATTCCCTGTTAGTTTCTGTAAGTTAAAGTTTCAGTCGCTCCATCGTATTTAATAGAAGAAGCTGTTTATAAAAAAGTATATACTTTTTAAAAATAATACTTTTTTATTCTCATTTTTTATATATTCAAAAATTTCTCCTTGTGTTTTTTTTTTTT